AAAACGAAGCACTACGTCACACGGAACATATAGTACGAAATTTTCTAAAGCCGGGAAAGTACACACACTGACATGACGTCATTGATTATCGAATAAACATTGATTTAAAAAAAAAACAATTTTGACTAATTTTAAAAGTGTTTTGCGTGAAGATTTTCTTTCATGCATCTCCTTGGGTAGGGTTAAACCCCCCAACCCTTAAGAACGTCTTACCCTCCCCCAGGAAAAAATCGAAATATGATTTATATAGAAAATGTTTACTATCACCAGTGTCCTCCTCTCCCGCCCTGGATAATTTGATTGATTAGTGCCCCACCCCTCGATAAATGTCTTCAAGAAACACTTTCTGCGTTAGTGATATTTATCGGCCAAAAGAAGTAAACGGGTCTACTTTAGAGAAGTAGGCTCTTCCTTTAGTCTGCATGATCTACAAAGTGACCAGTGTTTCTGTCAGATATTTTACTCCCCGGAGGGGGGGGGGGGGATACTTGAAATTTTCGGAAGGGGGTGTAGATTGGTCAAGATGACGTATTTTCTAATATAAATAGTTTTTTGTGAAAAAGTCAACAAAGACTACGTCATTTGGTCTATGTACAGGGGAGTTAACTTTTTTAAAGTAATAATTGTAAAATACTTTTTATACTATTTAAAAAAAATCCCAAATTATAGCATTAGTTTAAACCAGGGGTCTCCAAACTTTTCAGTCCAAGGGCCGCATTAACTATCAAATTTCAGTTCGGGGGTCAGTTTCTTCCAAGCATGTCGTGATTTTTCTGAGCAAAGTTCCTCAGCCATCACCAACAAACGTTTTTTCCGTGGTCAAAAAGATCTCCGCGGGCCGGACAAGAGGACCTCGTGGGCCGCATGCGGCCCGCGGGCCGTAGTTTGGAGACGCCTGGTTTAAACAGATATTTTATTTATAAATAATGTATGTATTGTACATCATGTAAAAATCAATTGCGAAAGTAAATGTAATATACTATTTGATCTATACTATTACGAAAGCCCTTGAATTTCTAATAACCTTGCGCGTAATAAGTTTGCGAGTATTCCATCAATGTTGCATGGCATTACATTATTCAAACTGCCTAAATTTAGGCCATAAGCATCCCAATAGTATTAGATTTGAAGTAATATTTTCTTTTTAGAGGGATAACTCACTAGGCATTTTTTCTAGTCTAGTTTATAGGCCTAAATAATTTTATTTCATATTTTCTCTTTTAGTCTTATATTTCAAGGGTCTTTAGATTTACAAAAAGCTATAAGATAAATGTTGAATATCATGAGGGTATAGCTTTACTTGAGCCTACAGAAGATGTGCAATATGCGTGATTTAATTGGTGGAGGAATTCCATTATTTATTTTTTTTTTTTTGCTGATTCATATTTTATTAAAAAAAACAATAATATCTTTATTCTGTTAAGTGTAAAGAGGGATTAAATACTCAGTTTTAAATTAAATTAATCCTAATGCAAGCAATTCTGTTTTTGTTTGCAACACCATGCTTCATTTTTCTCTTTATTTTTGAGGTTTTAATTTTAAATTAACAAAACCTGTAGAAGCAAATAATTGTAAAAGGTTAATTAATATTTGAACTTTTTTTTTGTTCAAAAAATCTACTTATATAATAGAAAGATGTACATTTATTTTTATCATGGTCATAAAAGTTTGGCTTAGTCCAAGTAAACATGAGTAGAATTTATGTAATAAATTTTGTTGGGTGCTTGTAAAATAGTTAAGAGGTTGAAATTTAAATTTATTATGTGGTGTTAATAAATAATTGGAATAATTTTGAAAAAAAAACATCCCACATAACAGCCAATCACCTATTAATTAATCATTCAATTTCTCAACTATTTCTAAAACCTAAGCTAAGCAGTATGCCTAGTCAACTTTAAAACTTAAACTAGACCATTTAATTTCATCTGTGATTGGTGTTTTACCTCGGTCAGTTGACTATGCAATACAGTAGTCATTCATATTTTGTAATATCATGACTTTGTTTTTGTTTGTCAGGCTTGTGGTCTGTCAAACATTGCGTCCATGTTGGCATTTTGTTGAGTTCAACCTTTTGTTCAGATCTCACAAAATACATAATATAGAACACAGACTGTCGTCCTTTTGAATCAAGTTGTCCCATGATCATAAATTATTACCTGGATTATCATACTGACAAGTGTCTATAAATCACACTGCTATCATCCTCTAGGCTAATTTCCTGCTACTTTTTAAAGTGGCTCTTCTGTTTCTTGCATTATATATTCCCTGTTTAATTTTTTTATTTAAATTAAACAGCTGATTGGTCTTCGTAAGAGAATACAAAAGTATGTAAACGTGAAATGTTTTTACACGGTTGTTATGTAAACAGTAGAGTTAATTAAATGTGCTGCTGAAGCAGGGCCGGCGCTACCTATAAGGCGAAAATTATTCACACTATAGAAATATCATAAACATGCAATATGCACAAGACATTCAAAGGAGATTGGTTTTGCATGAAATCAATTTTTTTTTAACTTTGTGTATTTTTAAAAAAAGTGTTTATTTTGTTTTGATTTTACATTGTAAACCAACAATGAACTGTTTCATTTTCAAACAATAGAACGAGATCTTATAAAAAAAATCTAGCACTCGTCCTAAGTTATAAATTATAGCGCACTATAGCTGCGTTTATGCTGATCTCTTTGTAATTATTAAGTCAAATAGAAATGTAAAAACAAACTTCGGCCTTAAAACCCGTCAACGTTATTGTTAACAAGAAACATTAATGTAAATGTTAACAAGAAAAATTAGTGTAAATCATTGTATCTAAAGCATGTTGAATTTAATTTTTTGGAAAGGGGTCATCCATAAATAACAATTTTTACCTTCCCCACCCCTCAGTCACACACCATCACAAAAAGCCAAACTCCCACCCCTGAAAATGGCGTCACATCACAGCCTACAACCCCCTCAAAATTGATTTTGAATTTTTCTTAAAACATCGATATTTTTCCGAAATATTGGCAACATGAGTATTTTAATCAATTCTTATTACAATTTTTCTAAAACGCAAATGTATAGCCAAAATTCGTTTTCTAACATTGTTTTTTTATAGTGCAAAATTGTGACGTAGCACCATCTGAACACCCCCCCCTATCATCACACACCGTCACACAATTACGAATCACTCTCCCCTCTACGAGAGTGACGTAATTTATGGACGACCCCAAAGCTAGAACGGCAATTTTTTGTTCAGAATAATTGATTATTTTGAATAATTTAATTTTGCCTGTAATGTTACAGTGATTTCTCGTTTTTTTATATTTACATTTGCATCCAATACATTTGCTTCACGTGTATCGAACACCAGCAATATTTTAAAATCGTGAATTTTTATTCTCATCGGTCATCTATTATTTTAACAAATGGCCGAAGATTCACATACACTTTTTGTGTTTAGCAGAAGACTATCTATGATTTCTTTGTTCAGTTGTTTCATCCCACCCTCGATTGTCCTAAACACTAGCTGTAGATCTGTAACAATGTCTTAATTGAAGTAACTTCAAGGTTGGATAAAGTATATCAAGTATAAAACATTAGGTTAAGTTGAGGAATAGGAGTTATAAAACATTAAGAGTGGTTAAAGAATAGAAAGCATAAATCATCACGCTTAATTAAAGTATATAAACTATAAAACATCAAGAATTAAACAAAAAATAAAGTTATAAAACTTGAAGTTTAGTTGACAAATAGAATATACAAAAATCAAGTTTTAGTTAAAGTACATAAAAAATACATTTCAAAACATAAAGCTGTATGCTGATGAAGATGGAAAGAAACCAAACGTCAATTAATTATCACATAAACTTGTAATAAAAACCAACACAAATATACATCACATCAACGTGCATCAAAACGAAAAGGCAAACAAAAAAATCATGGACATTTTAAAATTGTATGCCTGTTTAAAAAAAAACATGCATCTACTGTATAAAACGTCCATAGGCTTTTAAGGGAAACGCAGTCAATGTAACGAGGTATCCAACTATTTCAGTTTCATAATAGATTATAGTGGCCTCTTTATAACAAATATAGCTGGCAATGTGCTAATGAAGCGTCCAATGTGCTATATGTCACATGACCACCTGGACGGGGGATACCCTTTTATTTTATGTAAACAGCCACCAAACGACTGACACGAGTTAGGTAGACTCGTGTCGCCCAACAGCGAACCACCTCAATTCTGATACAACACAGTTGCAGTCATCTTCTCAGCGGGCATAGCCCCCCCCCCCCCCTCCACCTCATACTAATCACGTCTACCAAATGAAAATGACATGCTTAAACTACGTCCCGCTCCACTTCACCCTTCCACCCTCCGAAGAAAATTTTCAAAGTATTAGGTCGCGGTATTCCTAATGAAACACATTTTTATTTTTATGGGCAAAGCGAGAATCGGTTATTATTATTATAATTTTTCTTTTAGTTAAAATAATGTAAAACATACATTTGTGACTACATAAATTAAAGTTTACAAAAAAATTAAAAATGTTTTATATTTGATACAGAAAAGAACTGCACGATTAATTTAGCAACTAAAAATTAAAAATCATCGCGAATGCTTTAGTTAAAGTGATTATTTTCACACATAATTTTGTTGTAATTTAAATAAATGTTTAGATCTAAATGACAATTTACTAAATCTTATCATATTTTCAGTTTGATCGGTTTCGATTGTTCCATGTACAAATATCTTGTGTTTGTTAATATTCTCTTATATTAAGCTCTGGTAGACACAGACCTATTGGAATGCTTAGGATGAAACGAGTGTTTGTGTACGCAGCCCTCCGCTGTTTTTTTTTAATATATATTTTTTTATTATTGATGTTTGAATAACAGACAAACAGGCGGTATGTTTGAACTTGCATTAATATTTAATACCTTGCATTGAAGTTGTCCTTTCACAGCTCAGTGCTAAATTATGTTCACGATTAAAAGTAACAAAAAAGATTGCAAATTCATTAGTTCCTACCTGTAAAAAAGATACAAAATGTTTGATCCCTAAGTAATTTATCCTATTATTTGTTACATGCATGTAAACATTTATAAAGACCAATTATCAGTTACCATAATAAGATTAATAACAACATGTAAATGTTAATAACCTATACAAATTAGTTTGATAGGCGACTTTTTAAAAAGCATGTATTCACACCTCCCCACACCTCACACGGATGTTTATTGAACAGTGAATAACACATGTAGATAGGGTCAAGCAGGGGCGTAGCGAGGGGGGTGCGGACCGCACCGGGTGACCATTTAGGGGGTCGACACCAAGGCAAAAGAAAATTGCAAAATATATACAGAATAAACCGAGAGTGATCTCCCTTAAACTTTCTCGAATATTCTTATCTAACACTACAGGAGATGGCAACTCGGGAGATAGACAATATTTTAAATTCATTTTTACTTTCTCGTATATACGAAGTATAGAGAAAGTATTGTAATCGTGCAAAAATAAATCTCGACGTTTTACACGGAAAAACATAATTTTGCAATCTTGTCCGTATGTCTGTGTGTCTGTCTGTCTGTCTGTCTGTGTGTCTGTCTGTGTGTAAACACGATAACTTGAGTACCGTTACAGCTGGGTTGATGAAATTTCATATATAAGTATTTTATCAAAATCGTAGATCCGTATCAACTTTTGAGCCATTTCCGATAACCGGAAGTGGTACTTTTTCTTCTTTGAATTTTTTTAAAAAGCCTATAACTTGAGTAATATTTCAGATAGATAAACGAAATGTCACATGTAAGTAAAAGATCTAATTCTCTACCTTCTTTAAAATTTTGAGTAATTTCCGTTAACCGGAAGTACTAATTTACGCTATTTCAAATTTCTCAAAAATAAACCCATGTAAATTTATAAAGTACTAATAATCTTTTTCTTCTCGATTTTATTCTATTTTTAAAAGTTTAAGTAAACAAAAATCATGGCTATATTCCGAGTTGTCATCCCACGTAGTGTTATATTAGAATATTCGAGAAAGTTTAGGGGAGATCACTCCCGGTTTATTAATTACGTAAAACTTAATTTATTTTCTCCTTTTTAGTGTATTATTACATAAAAGCTTGCTATTAAAACGTTAAAGAAGATTTATATAAATACTGCATTAAATTTTATAGAAAAACATCCAAATACATGCATGTGAACAGGAGGATGTCGTGTGTCTGTTTTAGTAACAAAAATCGCTATAAACATTTAGAAGATAAAAAAATTAAAATGAAAATGAAAATTATTACTAATATCAAAGCCAAACACATTAAATTATTAAAAAATATATCTAAATTTCATTTCACTAAATGATGCATTGAAATTGGGTAGCCAGTTGATACCCATTGCGTCTACACCCCACATACCGTTCAGGTTAGACATGTAGCAAGCGTTGTACCACCATGCCCCGTGGTGTTTGATAGCGCAGCTTTCGTTAAACTTGTCGTTGTCCCGGTCATACGTTGTAAACATCATACCATTGTGGTCTGCCAGACAGTTCCAAGCATCTCCTGTGAAGCCACCAACCTTTAGCCTGTAGCCGTCTGTCTCGCTAGAAACGTTGAAGCTGGAATACTTACGTAATATTTTGTTCCATTGAAGATCATATCCACTCTCAGTTCTGTTTTGGTTTTAGACGTCAATAGATACATGTTGTCATTACCCAGGTAAAAATTACCTGAACTGAAATCAGCAAACCCATTTTTGTACTCCGTCCAGTTCCTGTAAAAATCTACAGTCCCAGAAACACGTCTTTGGAAAATGGTCCATCCTCCACCGTCTGTCACTGTGTCACACATGACCTGAAGTCCAGAGCTTAGGGTCACCACAGGTCGGGGTTCACTGCTATCTACCCCTAAGCATGTTTTACCTGATAATTTAATACCGACATAATAAATAATTCTTTGAATAAAAATATTTAAATTATAATTATCTTCTAAGATGTTTAAACTAAAGAAAGACATCGTTTTATATCGTGCCAATGGAAATCTATAAAATAAAGCAAAAATCATGCCTAAATAGCTTAGTGATGAATAGGAGTGGTAAAACTTTAAAAATAAAATTAATACTGAATAACTAATTTGTGGATAAATGATAGATGTTCTACAATGACAAACTGTAAACACACCAACCTATTTTAGCACAAATAATGCGACAGTGTAAGATTTAATTTAATTGTATGTAGTTACTGAGAAGTAAAAGAAAACAAAATAAAAACTGAATTACGGCGTATGCAACGCTCGGGTCGGCTATGTATTACGATAAAAAAATGAACTTAAATATTGTAATGTTTACCAACCTTCACAAATCATTACGTCTCTCTCTGAGATGGAACCATCAGACAGGACCGTGATGTTTCTGGTTGTGTTACAGAACTTTCCACTTGAGAAAATTTTTCCATTAACTTTTTGTTGTGAAGCTTTTAATGGCACTAGCCAGGAACCTGTTTACACACCGAATTATTTACAGTTTTTAATCAAGTCAAAGTACAATATTTTTCTTGATGAGAGGATGTTATAATAAGTCATCTGCTGTTTGTAGTTGCACTATGATGAATTAGTACCATAATACAATAATTGCCAGTGAAGATACTATTTTTTTTAAAGTATCATACAATGTTTGACCAGAACCATCTAACCTTGTAAATAGACATGAAAACAAAGGTTTATCACGATTACAAAATTATCCCTTGACACATTAAAGTAGACAAAATGAATTATCTCATGGCTATAAATCGTCAGTGTTAACATAAATACAACTGACACAATTTAAAACAAAAACTAAAAAAGAAATAGCTAACACAATTCAAAACAAACACAATAATGAAAAAGATTGATTAATTAGCTGGCTATTCTTGTGTTTGTTTGTTTATTCCCAATTATGTTACAAAACTTAAATTAAATTGAAAGCACATGTAGATTTAAGGAAAGCTACGAAGATAACATACGTGCTGTGCGCGATCGTTGTTTGCTCTTGCATAGTTTGTGTAATTTCAACATTAAAACTCGTTGCAATATTTTATTAACAAAACAAATAGTATATTATTATAAGGCTATATTATTGGTGCGCTGACCCTTTGACCACATGTGCTTTGACCATAGGGGGTTTGACCATAGGAGTTTTAACCACTGCAGGGCTTTGACCATAGGGGGTTTGACCACAGCGGGGATTTGACCATTGCGGTGTTTAAACCATAGGGGGTTTGATCATAGGGGGTTTGACCACAGGTGTTTTCTCAGCAGAGGGTCTTTGATCACAGGCGGTTTGTCAACGGGTGTTCGATCACAAGCGCTGTGTCAGGCTTTAATCATAGGTGTTTTGTCCACATAGGGTCTTTGATCTCAGGTGGCGAAAAGTATAAACCTGCCTTTTTTCCAGATGAAACTTGGAATCAAATACACGATTGGCGATGTAGCACAAACAAATATCAATTGTGAAGGATGGCATTACAGTCTTCAGTCTTTCATCCAATGTAGCCACCCAACAATGTGGCGTTTCCTTGAAGGTCTACAGATGGACTGCACACGGCAAAAGACAACTTTCTTGCAAGGTGTCGCAGGGGCAAGCTACCCAGCAAAGAAGCGATACAAGATGCTGCACGAAAAAGTACAACATGCTGTCCAGACATACGGTCAAACATATGTACTGACATATTTGCGTGCTATAGCACATCTGTCATTCAGTTAACCATTTTAAGTATTACTTCTTTGACTATATTGTTGACAAGTTTTGAATAATTTTTTATCCTTTACATATGCTATGTATTTTCAAGTACATCTACATTATTTATTTGTGAAACTTGTTATATGTTGCATTATTTGTGTTCCAAATAAATCTATGAGGCCTAGCACCAGCCTTTATGTGGAGACTAATATATAGTTTTTGACTTTTTGTTAATACATGTAAATTTCTATTAACATACTCTCAAGAAAACATGCATAAAATCGTATTAATTGTATCACACCTATGATCAAAGCCGGACACAGCGCTCGTGATCAAACACCAGTTGATAGACCACCTGTGATCAAAGACCCTCTGCTGAGAAAACACCTGTGCTCAAATCCCCTATGATCAAACCCCCTATGGTCAAAGCACCGCTATGGTCAAACCCCCTATGGTCGAACCCCCTATGGTCTAAGCACCTGTGATCAAAGCACCTAGAACCATATTATTAACCCAAACTGTAGTAAAAATAACTATATGTTGTATGATGCATGATAAACATGCTACAATGTTTAACATTTGAACTAACCGAGACTACAATGTCTTGTGGTTTCGTTGTAGATGTAGCTGTAGCACGTTTTGTTGGAACTTGAACACCGTGAGGCGCAGGACAAAAGACTGACTTGGTCAAACTCTACATCGATGGGAAGGGAGGTCAAGTTTGTGTCATCAACAGCCTTATACCATGTTAGTTTAACCGAGTCCATAGAATGAGCTTTATGTGACAAAATGTTAGAACAGTACAGTATTCAAGCATTTTACTTAGAGTAATACTGTTACAATGGTTTAAATAATTAGTCTTATTGTTTATCTTATATGTTATGTATGTATATATATATATATATATATATATATATATATATATATATATATATATATATATATATATATATATATATATACTGTTGTTTCGATATTGTATATTACATTGATACACTAAGCTATCTATCGAACTGCAGAACATTGAATCCCAGAACTAAAGGATAGGGAGAAATGTAATTTAACTATGCTCGAGATTAATTGTCTTTTAAAATTATGTTAGTGTAAATAAAAATTTAACTTAAAAGCTAGAAGACGACATAAAATAAAGGTCACTTACCTTGAATGACAGTACACAGTGCAAGTATAACTGATAACATCCACATGTTGGGGTAGTTGATATCATTCATTCGACCGTATTTTTAATGTTTAACTGAACAGCGAATCCTTTTCGTATTTTAGTATGATTCAAATTCTAAAAGAAAAACATCGATATAAAACTACAAAAGTTTAAATTACATAATAATACTATATTAGAACGAGAGCTGGAATAAATGTATTTTTGCTTTTAATCATTTAGAAAATGTGTTAGTGAATCTAGTAACAGCAACACTTAAATAATATACATATATCCAAGAAAATCTGATGGTTAACTTTTTGAAGTCTATCCAAATTAAGTTACGTGAATTATGTTGGATGTATTTTGGTTTTGTAAAGTATTGAAGAACCGCGTTTATATTTAAATGCTGTCCCTGCTGTAATATAACCCTCAACAAAACACGCGATGAATATTTAAATATCATAGGTCGCTAACCGTTTTATATCAAGAGAAACTGGTATAAGAACTTTTTGAGAAAAGAATATCCGTGAAGCTAGTTTTTATGTCATTTACTACAATGTTATCGCATAGAGAAGATTGTGAATCACAGTGTAATAAATATATCAAGCTTGCATTACAAAAACCCATTTAATATATAACTCTACAAATATACATTCCATAGAACGAGTAGACCTCTTGTAAAACCTGCTAAATCCACGTTTTTTAATGAGTTAGTTTAATAGCCTTCTTAACAAAATGTAAATCTAAGAAGTATTCAAATTATTTATATTAGATTATTAGCAGTAAAATATAAAAATTAGTTTAAAACAAAATTAACCGGGATTGATCTCCCCTAAACTTTCTCGAATATTCTTTTAAAAAACAATAGGGGATGGGGACTCGGGATATAGAGATGATTTTTAATCCATTTAAAATACTTAAACTTTTTAAAATAGAATAAAATCTCGAAGAAAAACAAATTGCCCACCAAGTGAAGGCCAAATAAATTGAGCATAATAGTGCGGAGTATTATTAGTACTTTATAAATTTACATGCATAATTTGAGAAATCGGAAATAGCATAAATTACTACTTCCGGTCAACGGAAAGTACTCAAAATTTGAAAGATGGTAGAGAATTAGATATTTTACTGAAATGTGAAATTTCATTTAGCTATATGAAATAGTATTTAAATTATAGGCTTTTGAAAAATTCAAAGTAGAAAAAGTTCCACTTCCGGTTATTGGAAATCGCTCAAAAGTTGATACTTATCTACGATTTTGGTATAATACGTATATATGAAATTTCATCAACCTAGTTGTAACGGTATTCAAGTTATCGTGTTAAACACACACACACACAAGACTACAAGACTTTCTCTGTATTTCGTATATACCAGAAAGTAAAAAAAAATATGTTGGTTACATCACATTCGGTCAGGATTGACTTAGCAGGTCTTCCAAAGTGGACTCCTCTTATGCAATATACATGAATCACGTAACAATAACATTTGCATTATTCTAATAAGTAGCCAACCGAGATAAAGCAAAATTTTATTGCAACATTTATCAAATAATTAGAAGTTAAGCTTTTAAAAACAACAAAATATAAATGTGTGTTGGACTGTGTTTTGTAACGAGAAACCACATGCCAAAAATGTAAAGTTCACACAATAGGCCCACATTACAGCGATTTGACATTAAAATGGCAACACAAATCGCTGTATCATGTGACACGAACTTAAATGCAACGTTTTAACAATCGATTTACGCAGCTAGATGTAATAATAGAACAGATTATAATATTATCTTGACGGTAGTTTTACAAATTTAAATAAATATACCTTAAGCGAATATCATTTAGCTGACGTTTAATCCAAATTTTGAAAAACTCACAATTAACTTAGTAAACTGAATACCTCAATGTTTTAATATATTCGTTGATAACGTTTCCACGTTATATGTTACAAGCATGCTATCACCACTAGCAACGCTCGGATGTTTGAAACCAATATTTAAGTTTACACATGCTACATTTAACATAAGCAACACAATGCTATTTGCATCACATAGTTGTTATTGTTTAGACACATGAACAGTAAATTGTTTAGTTTGTTACTTATCTCTTAACCGCAAGCTACTGAGCCGTTGAAAACAACTTCGCTATCTGATTCTCTGAAAGACCTCGACAATAAAATACGATCACTACTTTAATATTGTAAAACCAACCACTATTTACAAAACGATAAGATCATCATCTTAAGCCTCCCAAGCATTCTACGGACAGAAAGGTGACCAGAAAGAAGCGCAACGGAAAAAAGCGCAACGGAAAAAAGTGCAACGGAAAAAAGCGCAAAACAAAAAGCGCAACGGAAAAAAGCGCACACGGAAAAAGCGCAAAGAGAAAAAAGCGCACACAGGAAAAAGCGCAAACAGAAAAAAGCGCACACAGAAAAAAGCGCAAACAGAAAAATGCGAAACCAGAAAAAACACAACGACAAATGTGCAAAAGAGAAATTTAGCACAAAGACCATATGGATTAGATGACACATTTATACATGACTGTTAGGACTGCTGTGAGAGTGTCGTGTTTGATCATGTGATCTACTACCATTTAAAGCGTACCACTACCATGTGCATTCCCATCACCACGATACAGACGATAATCGCTTTGCACAATGCCTATTATTTTGTTGGTCACTTATTATTCAACTACTATTCTCGTATAAATAAACATAAAACTATCCTTGATATCGACATTACACGAAGTATCTCTCACATTCTCCCTAGTCCGAACTACCTAGCTTGCATACTATAACAACCCGTTACTATGGCAAAGCTTCGTTCTCTTTCATCGGCGTTATCAAACATGCATTCGTCATATTTCTCGCAACAACATTCATTCGCACCAAAATACCTGATAAAACACACATCATACCAATGCTGTATTTACTATTATTTCATTATGATGCACCTACCTACCTACCTACCTACCTACCTACCTACCTACCTACCTACCTACCTACCTACCTACCTACCTACCTACCTACCTACCTACCTACCTACCTACCTACCTACCTACCTACCTACCTACCTACCTTCCTACCTACCTACCTACCTACCTACCTACCTACCTACCTACCTACCTACCTACCTACCTACCTACCTACCTACCTACCTACCTAACTACCTAGATACCTACCTACCTACCTACCTACCTACCTACCTACCTACCTACCTACCTACCTACCTACCTACCTACGAACCTACCTACTTACCTACCTACCTACCTACCTACCTACCTACCTACCTACCTACCTACCTCTCTACCTCTCTACCTACCTACCTACCTACCTACCTACCTACCTACCTACCTACCTACCTACCTACCTACCTACCAACCTACCTACCTACCTACCTACCTACCTACCTACCTACCTACCTACCTACCTACCTACCTACCTACCTACCTACCTACCTACCTACCTACCTACCTACCTACCTACCTACCTACCTACCTACCTACCTACCTACCTACCTACCTACCTACCTACCTACCTACCTACCTACCTACCTACCTACCTACCTACCTACCTACCTACCTACCTACCTACCTACCTACCTACCTACCTACCTACCTACCTACCTACCTACCTACCTACCTACCTACCTACCTACCTACCTACCTACCTACCTACCTACCTACCTACCTACCTACCTACCTACCTACCTACCTACCTACCTACCTACCTACCTACCTACCTACCTACCTACCTACCTACCTACCTACCTACCTACCTACCTGCCTACCTACCTACCTACCTACCTACCTACCTAACTACCTACCTTCTACGTACCTACCTACCTACCTACCTACCTAACTACCTACCTACCTGCATACCTACCTACCTACCTACCTACCTACCTACCTTCTACTACCTACCTACCTACCTACCTACCTACCTACCTACCTACCTACCTACCTACCTACCTACCTACCTACCTACCTACCTACCTACCTACCTACCTACCTACCTACCTACCTACCTACCTACCTACCTACCTACCTACCTACCTACCTACCTACCTACCTACCTACCTACCTACCTACCTACCTACCTACCTACCTACCTACCTACCTACCTACCTACCTACCTACCTACCTACCTACCTACCTACCTACCTACCTACCTACCTACCT